GATGGACTAGCGACCTGTCCAGGATGTATCCTGCCTTCCGCCCAAAGACTGCTGGGATAGGCTCCAGCACCCACCCCACGAGCCACAAGGATAAGCGGTTTAGAAAATGTGTGTAGACGCCAAACGTCTCCAGACAAACCCAGTATTACACATCAAAAATAAAGAGAGCAGAGTGCCTTCCTGCCTTTTTCCACCTTAAATAAACAATCTACACTGCTAAAGCTCTCCACTGATAATCATCCATTTTCGGCAGCAACAGTGTCACCATCCCAACATTTCTGTGGCTTCAAGTTGCTGCTGGTCGACTTTTTCAATGCAAACATGTGAATGCAGACCAGCACAGACTCGAGACAGAGTTAACTGTGGCTATAATTGAGATAGATTTTTGGTAATGTTACCCAAAGCTTGAGCCCACCCCCTCTGCATCTTCACTGGAGAATATCAGAGCATGCACACTCATCCACAGCCCACCCATCAGGGTCTGTAACCAGATTTGTGTGTGTTTAACTAAGCCCACTGCCTCACCACGTGGACGACCCAGCCCCCGTGGACAGATGAGGTTACGGGGCTGCAGGGTGTTCCCCATTAGTGCCAGTAATAACTGGCCCACAACGAGGGCACAAATGTAGAGGCCGGCACGTCCTGCGCAAAGAGCGACGCTGTTCAGACCTTAATTATCCGCACAACACACACATTCGCAGTCATCAACACTGAATTATAACAGCACTAATGGAGCACAGTGCACTTACACACTTATTACACAGTCCTATTCATGCACTCTCACTGCGCCGAGGCCAGACAGACAATGGCACGCTAACGTCAGCAGCGGCGGACAGTCTAAAATAATAAAATAAATAAACAAATATAGAGGCATGAGGCTCCTGGGATAAAATTGGCAGCTGTTGTAGTTCATAAAAACGTTAATGTTACTGTTTCCTCTGCATGGTCAGACTGCTTCAGATGAGTGGCATAAAAGAAAGCGGTCGAGTCTGAGGTCCAAACGCTGCCTCGACAATAACTGTCCGTTCTGTATTTTTGATACTCCTGGGGTTCTTCTAAAATGAACGTCAGTGCCACATCGTTCAGAGCACAAAAGCTCAGGAATTAAACCCCTCTCAGAGCTCCATTGTCTGCTCTGGCAGCCAAACTCTACAACAAAGCAACAAAAATTGACGTCTGGAGCTGCTGTTTTGCTATATTATTTAAATGTAGTTACACAGCCACAATTAATTACATAGTTACATAATGAATTACTACTACATTCAATTTACATTCTGTACCAGCAGATTCGAGTCTGCATTTCAGACTGTTTTTCTCAAGTGTTGAAGACAAGACTGTACATGCAACAATAACTTTTTGAATAAAATGTAAAAAATCTAATTAAGGGTTTGGAAAACTGCAAAAATATATCAAGATACTTGACATGATATTTTGATATGCATCATAAAAACTCCAGAAGTCACAATAATGATAAATATTGTCTAATCTATTGTCTTCCCCTTGCAAACACAAATACGTGGATTAAAAGCTTAGAATATGCACTTTCTACACAATTTAACTATGAGTGAGAAATCATCCATATAAAATTACAACATGTATTTATGTTGTTATCACTGCCAGTTAACTTCTATTCTCTCAGAAAAAAGGTATGTAAACTGTAACTGGGGCAGTAGCCCTTGTCACTGGGGTGGGAACCTCAAGGGTACATCTCAGTACCTTTAGTCAGGGAACATTATTGTACCATAATCCACTGAAATTATATTTTCCAAGTCGTACTGACTCCACACACCCCGTCTATTTTATTGTTCTGTTTTAAAACATTTGGTTATGAAAAGGTATAATATGTACTTTTCACCTGGAAGAGCGTATTTAAGGTTCACAATTGGACCTTAAAACCACTGTTGAATCTTTGAGGGAACATTTATGATGTTTGTACCATGATGAACGAAAAATGTACCTGCACAGAACCTTTATTTCTAACAGTGCAGGATTTAAAATAAGTTCCAGACCAACAAGCTGTATCCTCATGTTGCTGGCTGCTCATCAGTGAGTGTTCTTTTATGGACCAACTAGATTCAATGAACCAGTGCCTGTTTGATGAAAAGCAACAGGCAGTGTGAAGTAAAACAGCAGAAAGGAGAAGAAAAAGAGAAAGAGGATGATTGCGCTACTGCTGTGAAACGACTCTCTGTGTACTGAAAAGCAGAAAGGGGGAGTAAAATAGAAAAAAAGACAGATATACAGAGACACAGTGTGGCGAGAGAGTGACAGATAGCAGAAGCAAGAGAGAGAAAGTGGACAAGAAGAGATGGAGACAAGCAGAGAGCAAGGAATGTGGGAAAGAAAGAATGAAACAAAAAAAAAGGGAGAGAGAGAATGACAGAGAAGTAAAGTGGACAGGCTGAGACAGTGATTGTAGGTTGGATGCTGGACTCATGGTGACAGAGGGATAAATGAAGAGTGACAGTTGCCATAGCGATCACTCCTCTCCTCGCTCACACGCAGGACACGCCTGTCCATCACTGTCTACACCCTACTGCTGGCCACGCCCCCTTAAAAACACACATGCTCACCCAGCAGAGAACAGTGGGAGGATATCACAACAGAACAGCTATTATTAAATCACCGCTGCTTTAGCCCACAGCTACACAGGAGGAAATCACATCTGACACTGATCCTCGAACAAAAACGCAGCCTGCCTGTCTCTGACTGTACAATCCTGCCATTCAGCAGCGCTTTAACACCTCTCATACGGTGGAGACTGACTGCCATTGTACTACTGACCTATTCGCTCTGTCCACAAACATGCTGCTATAGCTTTACAGCTGTACAGCCATTTAACTACTGCTTTACTGAACGCTGACATTTCATTCAACCTAACATAACGACAATGAGCTTCATTTCACCGACCATTCGTAAGAATAAATCTCTTCTTAAAACCCACTTACAGTTTTTACGAAGATTCTGACAATGTTTTCTTATTTGGGATTTGTTCTTAGGTAAGAACAGAATCTACACACTCAAGAGCACAAAGGTGTGAACAGTTCTATGGTTTAAGAACACGTCATGAATCTGACGTAGACTTTTTCTTGGGACCTTTATCAAGAACACATTTATACGGAGCCCCACTGTTGACGCTCTGTATAAATAAAAATAAAAATAGCCACGACTTGGTAAGGCATGAGAACAAGATAATTAAGTCATGGCCGCAACTTAGTAAGGCATGGGAATGAGATCCTAACGCTTGGCCACGACTTAGTAAGGGATGAGAACGAGACCATGCCTTACTAAGTGGTGGCCACAACTTAATCATCTCATTCCCACGTCTTACTAAGTCGCGGCCACGCATTAGGATCTCGTTTCCATGCGTTAATAAGGCCACGCATTATTTCTGTTTATATGGGACGTCAGCAGGGCTCCATACATTTAAGAACAAACGTATAAAGATATTGGCCAAAGAGTCACATTGTGATATTGCAGCAACGGCAGTGAAGAATGAAGAAGGAGATGCTTTTGATAACCCAAGTAAAACTCTTTATTTGGAAAAAATATGATGTGTGCAGACTACTGAACTTAAACTTGGAGTGGTGACCTGCTCCACATGAAGAGCAGCTAGGTGAGGCCAAAATATAATTGGTATACAGTTTCGGGAAAAAACATCCTCAAAAAAGAAGACCATAAAACAACCACTCATTATCTTATGTATGTCATATTGGTTTGTTTGAATAAGGTCACATTACAGCTGCTTGTTGCCTGTGGGCATATAGGCCTACCGCTTGGTTGGTTAGGTCATGACCATCGGAGACACCTAAAAAGCATCTAATACAGAGCGCTTCAAACACAGACCTTGAATCCAATATCTGGTCTTGGATTTCACAGTCATTAGGTTGTAGGACATCAAGTGCACAATGAGTTACATCAACAATCAACAACCAGCCAGTACAAAAAAAAAAAGACCAGAAAGTGGGGTCAATTTCTATGTATTGTAATTCTCTATTGCTTAATTCATGTATATTATGTGGCATGTGCATGATTACACTGGGGTAGGTTTGGAGGGAAAACAAAGTGTAGCCAAGCAGCCCATGACCAAGTACATCTGCTCCTGCCCAACTGACTGATAAAAAGTGGACAGCCATGCTGACAACCGATCAGAGGCTTGACTATGAAAAGATCCTGACAGTTGTGGCAGTCCTGGCATACACTATACATCAGTTCTACTCTGTGGGTGGAGCTTCTAAGGCTGAGACTAACCGCTATGTCATCACAACCGTTCGGTTCCCACTACGCTCATCTCCTTCTAAAACGTGTGGGATAAAAACAGGGCTAACCCACATGTAACAAAAGCTCCCACTGCCTCTGCCTCTCTGGGTAAAATCATGTGAAGCTCACTCTTTTTTTTTTCCCCTCCATCTCCCGGCTCTTTCTTGTGACAGTGCAGCTTAGCTCTGAGGTCTGTGTGAAGTGGAGTCTAGGGGGATACTGAGTGCTGGTGTCAGACAAACAGCATCAGACAACTTCCAAAGCCCACAGAGCCCTGTTCCCATACTGCCGTCCTCCACCGACACAAACACATTCATCGCCCTTAACATCAAAAGAATATAGTGAAAAATCTAATTTGCACTAATTTCTCTTCACTCCAAATGTGTTCAACCAGCCAACGCACAGTTTAGTACACCTTTAATTTTGCAGTGAAACTATGATTGCTACTGCTTTAAGCTATGCAAGAGCACAATAGTAACAACTTGCTAGCAACATTAGCCTCATAGCTCCATCTCAAAACTAAGGAAGCAAACTTCAGACACCAAACATGTCTTGGCAGATCTACATCTGGGGCAAGAAGAAGATTTTTTGCTGAACTATTTCTGTAAACAAACCCAGACTCTCTAGAACAGGGTACTTTTCAGGTGTGGTGTACTGCAAGGGTCTATAATGGTGTCTTGAAGATTCTTCTGATTATATACCAGCATAGCCTGAGACTGAAGCTGCAAATGTGAACTTACCGTTTGGGCTTTTGGCTCCGTCGCTGAGGCCGTCACATGGCTGTCGTTTCTGTGCACTCTTAAACTCCTTCAGCGACAGATAGAGAACCTTTCGCACCACTCGCTCCTCCGACCAGGGGATTCCATCACTGTCATCCTGAACACAACAGACAAACAAAGAAGCCTGTCAGCAAACATGGAGCATGAGGGTCAGAAACAAATACAGAAATACTGCATTTATACTGTTGCTGTAGTAACAAAATCTTGTATCGTAATTATATGAGAGAAGGCAAACATGTCCTTAGCTTTAATGAGCGTTAACGTATAAAGATTTTATTAGTGGAACATTTCTATTGGTCCATTATTCATTAAATGTTCAGAGGATGGAAAAAAGCAGCTACTGCTTTCAAATGGTTGAAAAAAAATGTAAAAAATAAATACGAAACAAATGTTTGGGGGATTTGCTATGACAGCAACGATACATGCTTATTAAAAAAATACATAATTTAAACAACCAAGTTAGAGCAAAGAATGTTTAACTAAGCAGCCTCACACACACACACACACACACACACACGCACACACACACACTTAATACTTCCTTTCTGACACCGAATCAGAGGATGTTATTGTACTGGGGTCATGGGAGCCTTTTCCTACATCCTTTTCCAATCTCTTTATATTTCATAATTCATTTCATCTTATTTTATTTTAAACAGCTAGTCGTCACCACAGACCTGGAGAGGCACGTTCTCCTTAAAATGGAACAGAACGCTGACGTGCACTTCCTGTCTCTAAATACCCACTTCCTTTCTCAACACCTCAACACCACAGACACATTTTCACTGAGGGAACTTTTCATGGAAGCAAGAATCTCTGTTCCACTGTATTAAAGGGAAAAAGTCGATGCGTTTTACTTTGTTTTCAATTAAAATTAAAAATCACAACAACAACAGAGAAGTGGAGAACTTTAAGAGCTGGCACACACAGCTCATCAACATGGAAGGAAAATCCAGTCTGGTGACTCACTACAAAATAACCTCACACTTTATTTCCATATTCTCAGAGTCATACCAACCCTTTTTTTCATTCTGTATTCTTTTTTTTTGTAAACTTGTATTCATGCTTCATTGATTTTGTTTTCACCCTATGTGAAAACGCCAGCTGCCTTTTCCACTTTATGAATGGACTAAGATACAAGGTTGGTTTATTGTCAGAGGGCATTCAAAGATACAATGAAATCCTTATACTACCGCCGCATGCTTCTACACAATAACTCCTTAATCTTTACAGTCCATACACGGAGCCTAAACTACAAAAACCGGCTGAACTGTTGGAAAACAACATATTTACATATATCCACTTATTCAGCTGACAGCAGTTTAGCCCTGCCCATTCACACTGAAATTATAAGGAGTGTTTCAGCACGAACTGCTGTTTGAACGAGGTATGACACAGATTAGCCAATCAGAATAGAGCTTGTTTACATATAACAGTCTAAAAGGTGCAGTAACAAAAACTGTTTGTTTGAATCCAAGCAATAAAAGTTGGAAAATGGTCATGTAAAAATGAATGACTGTTTTTCATATATAAAAACATACAAATGTCAGCAGATCTCTTATATAAAGTTATTATATCAGCGATATGAGGTCCTGTAACAACAACAACAACAACAACAACAACAACAAGCACCACGACTTAAGTCTTTAATTAACTAGTTTCAGTGTACTTAAGACTAGCGTCAGTGTAAGACTAGCGTCAGTGTAAGACTAGCATCTTAATAACCGCATCACACCCTGCGGCTCCTCTCTGGTCAGTATCTGCTCCGGTCAGCTCAATTTTTCCTTAACTCAACAGTAAAAGGAGGCCAAACTGAGCTCATGTTACAATATAGTTTTATACAGGTATGATCAATTAGTGTCAATTTAAAAAAAAAAATCCCTTATAACCACATTTTCACACTGGCTGTGATTGTACGTCTCCCATAAGCTAAGAGCAGGGGCTTTTTTGATCTGCTACATCCTGAGATATAGCGCGCATTTACTCACTGGGTTTGAAATAAAACCAGCAGGGAACAGATCTGATGATTCATAAAGATTTAATGTCACATTTATAAAGCCTTTAATAAATTATTTATACACCTTTAAACCCTTGAATAAAAACTGAAACCAAGCTTTTTTAATCTTCTATTAAAAGTCAAGGAGTAACACTTCTAGAGACAGTAAATGTACTGGCAGTAAAATAAAAGGGTTCTTAATAGACCAGCTTAACTAGAGACCTTCAGTAAACAGAATAAAATCAGTGCACACACAGAGAGAGAGAGAGAGAGAGAGAGAGAGAGAGAGAGAGAGAGAGAGAGAGAGAGAGAGAGAGAGAGAGAGAGAGAGAGAGACACCGCTCATTGATTTTAGTGTTACCAAAAAAATACATAAAAAAAAAAACAAAAAACAACAGTGAACTGATCTAAACGGACTAATCTCTGTCTCAGGCAGTCAGATTTCTCAAAGTGGACTAATCAAGCAATGACAGCAGCATTAAGACTAACTAAAAGCTTCTCTTGTCTCAGTAACTAATTCTAAATGGCCCTGACGGTGGAAAAAAATTACATCACCTCAGACGGATTAAAGGTTTCCACCTCAGAGGGAAAATAATTACTGTAAGATATCAGAGCTGCTAGAGCAGATAACAGATACAAGAACCTATTATTACACAGAGATAGCAGAACAGGAGACAGGGTATAGGATGGAGAGAGAAAGAACGTGCGAGCGAGTGAAAAGAGAGAGAAAATATTCCTAGTAATTAACAATGTTAGCCCAGTTACCAACGTCAGCTATGTGCCATCCTAACTAACGTTACAGCAACTCTGTCCCGGTTAATCTGCCCATGATTACCTGACCAAGACCAGCAGCCCTTAATCTACAACCTTGAGGTGAAGCAGAGAAGGAAAGCACATCAACCTAGTTAGCATTGCTCTTCAACTGATTCCTGTCAGCCTCGTTAGCCGCTATCTTTCCAAGGCCTTTCGAATCGTCCAGCGGGCCAAAAGAAGCAGGAGCTGATGGACAGATCTGAGAGAGATTTAAGAGTGTGTGGAAACAGAGTGATGATATAAAGACAGATTTATATTCTGCCTTACGGAGAAGCAGGCTGAGAACTCTGTAGCTGATGTCTGAAACCCTGCTGAGCGCTGTGGCTCTGCAGACAGAGAGGACAGATCAAAGTTCGGCGATGCCACAGCGCTACGTGGCCAGAGAAGAGGGGAGATGACAACATAAGTCGTGTCTCAAAGTCAAGGCTGCAGCCCGAAGTAGGAAAGACCTTACTAGCGCTGCTGTCTGAAGGCCTCTTTTCATTTCACGCTCACAATGGGGGCAGCTGCAGCAGACGGTACTGACACGTCACGGCCTACCGATGTAAGCAATGCGAAAAACTCTAGCACACCCGATACTACGACAGATTTCTTGGATAGGTTTTGTTGTACTTTTTAAACTACCATCTGCTGTCAACATGTTTTTCACAGTAACTATGTACACAATGTATATATTTCACTAGAAACTCTTAGCTGTTTCCGCTATTCTTCAAACGGCTTTCAAAACTGTTGTTGGCGATTGAAGGACTGCGAGGATCCCCCAGCTGAGCCCTGCAGATTCCCAGAAAGAAGCAATACATTTATCAGCCACACTGAAAGGATCCTACAAAATGGAACGGCCTTCAGTGACGTAATGGCCAAGAAACGGGTCCCTCTGTTGCATCTTTGGCTTTGAGACACGTCTGAGACTTCGTCAGAGCGTCCGGCAGCTTTCATCGAAACGTGGCCAAGGACCACCTACTTCGACTGGAGGCTCCACTTTCAATTACTTTTAAAGTAGCCAACCACACAGCACAGTTTTTTGCAAACATCTAGGCGCAACAACAAAAACAGACCCACATATGATATACAGTGGCACAGCGACCAAAGGGAAACGCAGCGTCACCAACAAGAAATAAAGAACTTCAAGAAATTGTGTCATGAACTTCCAGTGGCTGTATTTGGGGATCTTTTTCCTAAAGGCTCACTGCCATCACAGTGTGCCAAGAAGGTAATTGCTTACTCCTGGTGACTAGTTAGTATTTAAATGAATAAACCTGAGAGTGCATATATTTTTTTTTTATTATTATTTTTCACTTTTATTACTATTTTTAAGCACCTAGATAGTTTATCATATAACTAATAAAAGGAAGCCCTGCACAGTGTGCTATACCACTGATTTGAACAAATCAAAATGCAAACCACAAAATTACTCAAAAAGCTCATGCCTGTACTCTTAAAAACACTAATAGTATGTTACTAGAACAATATCCAGTTACATCATGTCAGTGTATTATCTGTTTAATTAAATCTACATTTTAAGGCAGCCAGATTTACAAACTTCTCACAAAAAACATCAAATGTTTTACAGTGTACAATATATATGACACATCCTGCCTATAAAGGAAATGGACCGTCTGAGACTGAGACCAGTGACAGCATGACCCCTAGCAGCTCTCAAGCAAAACTGAATCCCTTCAACACCTGTCCCAGTACAGAGCGCCTCAGAGCTAGACACAATTTTACAGGCAGAATGAGACTCCATCTCCCTGAGGACCCATTAACAGCACACGGAGGATCGCGTTTTCCCCAAAACACACGGACAGGACAGAGCCTTCCACACGGAGATCCGCCGGAGAAAAAAAAAAAACTGATGAATTTGGTGAAAAACTGTCCAATTAAAGCAGGAGGGTTTGGAGTGTTTTCATTGTTTCCTATGGGAGAAATATTGAGGAGGGGTTTGGGGGGAAACAAAAGGCGTGTGAGTGAGTGTGTTTTTGTGTGTGTGTGCGTATGAGGGAGCTGACACTGACAGGTGAGCTTCACATCTCCCAGCAGACGCACACACACACAGTGCTCTACGCATTGACGCTCTGCAGCACCTGACAGAAGCTGATTGGGTGTGTAGAGTGTGAAACCACCGGAGCTCCTCGTTAGAGGCCCCTGTGCATGTGCACGCACACACACACACACACACACACACAATGGAAATCTCAAATTAGACATCAATACAAACTGGCAGGTTTTGTAACGGACTTTATATCATTGCTCTAATGTGAAACGGCACCGTCCTTCAACAGGGGACGGTC